GCTTTCCTGAAGCATTTTAGAAACCTGTTCCTCTTCACTGCTTGGCTGCCTATAACTTCCTTTACAAAAAAAGCTTGTGGAAACTGGCTGACAGTCCCGAAAGCAGAACAGGGTTTTGAATCCAGCTCTCCTACGACTGCTGTTGCATTTTTAAGGATACTTAGATCATTTGGGTGCCCTTCTAAGCATCCCTGGTGCTAATATCACCATTCTTAGTGGAACTGGTCCCTGAAGTCTCAGTTGCAGCACTCAGCATCTTCTACAGTACAGTCATGAGAGTCTTTGTGCAGGAGTTTCTCAAGTACTGTGGATTAAGGCTTGAAAAGTTATTTCTCTCTTTCCCACTGTTGGATTTAGCTATTGCTTTTTAAACCCTTACACCCCTTAAGTAACAGAACCACGCAGACAGCTAAGCTTCCTTGTAGCAAATGAGCGTAAGTAACATGTGCATGACCCTTGGCTACCAGACTAGCTCTGTTACCTTGAACTACCTGCAGGCAGGGCTGGTAATACTGTAAAATCACAGCAGTTAAATCCCATAATGTCTGCCTCTCTGAGTCCTAAAACAGGAGCTATGGGAGCTTGCACCACAGTTAGGAATTATGGAAACAGCTGTAGCCCCATGGAGTTAGCAAGGCCAATGTAGACACAAAGGGGATGAACAATTAGAACATCTGAAATACTTTCTCCACCACAAATGTGATCCTGGTCTTACAAATCAGCTACACTCTTGAGAAGGGTCAGAGAAGCAAATGCTTCTGTTCTCTCCTCCTTGAAGTGTAAAAGACCATGGATTAAATCTTCAGCCCTACTCTTGTCTGGGGTAAAAGAGCCAGGACATGATAAAGGGGATCCAGAAGATAACAAATCAGGATGTGGAAGCATATTGCCTTCTTTCTTAGTGCAGACAGCTGCTTTCCCAAAATCACCTCCCAAAGCCCTGTCAAAAGGAAACTATATGGTGTTACCTGTTTCCTGCCATCAGAAGTATTTCACATGCATTTCAATCACGCACAAAAAAAGTGAGAAAAAAATCATGAGGTGATTTTTTGTAGATAAAGAAGACTATGCAGTTCATGTGCGGGGTGATTAGGGGTTTTTTGTTAGCTTCTAAATTTTAGCAGTAGACTTGCCAGTAACGCATGGGGATGCAACAGCATTAAAACTATTGGATTAGCAACTTCTCTTATACACCTGGAGCATGAGTTTTGATCTGTTTCCATTTCCAGCATCTAAGTTGCCAAGTATTTGAAACGCTATAGCTGAGGCATCTAGAAAATGTCATCACCACTTGTCGGTTTATAAGAGGCTTGTCATAGGCTTAGCAGCTCTGAGAAGCTGTAGGTTAGTCTGGCCAAGAAGGGAAAAAATGCTACACCACATGGTATTTCAGATCAATGAAGGGATAATGATATCCGTATTCACCAATCAGTTAACTGATTTTTATCAAACTTCTGCCCTGTGGTGATCAGCTTGCACGCGCAAGTAATTAACCTGTGTCTTGGGGTCCCCACACACTCCTGACTGAGAAGTGTCACTTGCCATGTGTTTGAGTGAAACCCTGATTTGCCGATGCAAAATAAACCCATGACTGCATGTGCACGGATGGGTGAGGATGGGATTATTCAAGGTCAGGTTATCCTGTCTGTGCTAATAGAGTAGGAGATTAATGAAGGAAGGATTTTGCTGTTAAAAATGACCCACTACACTTCCTCCATGTGAACAGACACTATCTATACTGCAGTTGGAAATGTAGCTGCAGTCCAGCAGGATGCTCCCAAGCTAACTTTAATCAATCCGGATCAACTGACCATGTACCAAAGATATGGGAGCACAGGCACCAACTGCTCACCTACAGCCCTTGGTGGGCTTGTACAGCCTGGGCTGAAATCTCTGTTCTTCTGTTTCTGCTGTGCTGTTGCTACTCAACCCGTAGTGCAGTTCACCCTTCTCATTGCAGTGTGGACACAGCCTCAGCAGCCAGAGTGAAGTCAGCGTGCTCTTCTTTTTGATCAGAATTTCAGGAAGCCCCGAGCTTCCCTCTCGTAGGTGTTCCACTGCCAGTGATGTGAAATACCTCTCCCCAGACCTAAGCAGCTGGCAGATGTGGGCCTGATGCGTTACGCGGCTCTGGTTCGGATGGTTTGTCTTCACAAGGGTGGGATTTATTTCTAGTAGTGACATGGCACAAAAGGAAGTGCTGTGTGAAATTACTGCTCTCTTTCTCTTTTGTACCTATCAGAGAGTGAATTCTCTCCCTTTTTAGTTCGTATTTCAAGACAAAATAGCTGATTCTTTTGGGTTGATGGAAGAATCCAGATCAGTCTGTTGAAACCTGGCATTGAGTGTTCCTTATGTACCAGAATGGAGAAAATAATTAATTGCTTTGGTTTTCCTTTGCTGCTTCTAAATCCCCCTGGGTGTCTCTTGAACAGGCACAGAGTCCTTGGCTGCCTCACTATGGAGCAGTTGATGTCCATTTTACTGGCATGGCTGATTGTTTCCGGCAAACTGTGAAGAACAAAGGTGTGCTCGGACTTTGGAGTGGACTCACACCCAGTCTGCTCAAGGTGAGGTTTTGCTTTCATCGCAAAGACTATCCTGAAGTAATCAAGACACGCTTTTGGACAGTTGCGGTTATAAAGCTTATGACGTGCCTCCGTACTTATTAGCAGCTTATAGATGACAGAGTCCGTGACAGAACAGGTATAACCTCAGGCAGGTTATAAACCAGCTTTGGAACTTGGTTTGGTCATATTTCCCCAAATGTAAGCTTGGCTTCTAGGTGTCATTACTTTCAAGTTCATTTGAATGTCCTTAGAGAAGGGAGTGCTGCTAACACACAAGCCAGGGTATGGAAGGGGGATTGCAAGTGATCCACTTAAAACAGCTAAACAAGTCCTACTTCTCAGCTGAGCTCCAGTAATTTGACATGTTGTACCAAGCTGTAAAGAAAATTGCGCTTCTGTAATCCACTTCTCCAGAAGTCAAAAGTAGTACTTTCGACCAGCTATTTAATGCATGCGTATCAGTTACTACAGCCCTTGCTGAGTTGAAAGCATGAAATAAAGCACGGTAGCTTAAACAGAACATAATTTAGTTTACATAAATACATTTTATAGTACTACAGGTCAGCTAAGGAGTTCTAATTGAGTGACAACGTGATTGATTGCGATGGCCTGCCTGTGCCTGGCCCTAGCTTGGCTGTTACAAAGCCACGTGGCACCAGAGCTGCTGATTCTGTGTGGGGCAAAAGAAGAAAATTGTTCAGTCACTCTGCTGTATGTGGAATAAATCCCACATTTCCTACTGGGATTTGCTGAGGTTGCTTAGGATTTGCTTAGGTATTTGACAAGTTGTGATAATCTATAGGCTAGCACAGACCTTGTTCCTCACAATATTGTTATAATTAGTTATGTACCAATAATAAACTCCTACTTTTGGCATGCTGCAGGTGTCAGCCTAGTTTGAGGTGAGACTCTGATTTTGTATAAATGAGCACAGCTCTATTAGCAGATCAGATCAGATTTCAAGTCCTAGAAGTTTCCTTTTTTAAAATGTCTAAGTTAAGAATGCTATGAGTCTAATATTGCTTTTTCATCTTATGTTGCTTTTTTTTCTTATTTTATCAGATTGTCCCATACTTCGGTGTTATGTTTAGCACCTTTGAATTCTGCAAGCGGGTCTGTCTGTACCGAAACGGTTATATTGAATCTCCTTTAAATTACAAGCTAACTCCTGGCGTGGACCAGAGTTTACAGCCACAAGAACTGAGAGAATTAAAGCTCCTCCGAAGGGAAAACTTTGAGTCAAGGAAATCAGCTCTTGAAAACTGACATTAGAGTGCCCATTGCAGATATACACACTACCTTTCTTAAGGAACTTCGCAGGAAAGACATGCTGAACTACAGGTACCAGCGTCTCAGCGGATTGCATGGTTTTAGTACTGAGACACCAGTGCCAGGAATGAATAAATCTTGTATCTTATTTGCTGAATGGATATAAACAATATGAATAGCAAGCATATACTGAAAAGGAGAGATGCAACTAGTTTGAGGACACTATGCTATTGGAACTTGAAATTACAGTATTCTAGGTGCTTTTCAATACTGGATAGCCATTTTGAGATAAAACTACTTGCAGAAAGGTGAGAGAACTGAGATAAGAGTATAAATTGTATCTTCAAAAATATTAAGAAAATTCAAATGGATTTTTTTTAAGTAGTCTGAGACCGAGTCAGCCAAAAATGATAAACAGACTAGAATACATACAACATTCAAGAATTTCTGCTGAAATCTCTTTTTTTAGTGGTACTGTGTGGACGTGGCATTCTGTCGGTGCAGAATTAGTCTCAGTTCAGTCACACTCCAGAATCCACTCTTCAGTTTTTGAGACTTACTTGAGAATAATAATTTTGTATGAATCTTTGGCTAAAGATGAAAATATGCTGCTGCAACTGTGCTTTTGCTGAGAGAGAATTGTAATGTGCAAAATGAACTGTAATACACTGGAATGACAATCTTGCAAACTTAAGTGCATACTAGAAAATCTTCCCCCCTTTCTCCTGTGTTGTTACTGCATGTATGTGAATTATTTTAGGCTTTGAAAAAATAGTGTTCCTGAAGTTCTGTAACTGAAATATTTCCTGAAAAATGCAGTTCTTAAATGTGTTAGATATTTCAGAGCCACAGCCTTGTCATGTTGTTTTGGTATTCTTAAAGCTCTATTTTTATATTAAAGTACTTTTTAGTTCCTGTGCACAGACCTGTGCTGCTCAGAACGTGCCAGCAGAATAGCACTGTGCACACAACCTGTGATTTTTGCACTTTAACTGCTGTGATCCAGGAGCCTCAGATAGTTTCTGTAGATAGGAACCTCTCTGCAAGACCACTAGGTTATTGCTAGTGCCAAAGCAATTGATAGGCCTCTGACCAGCCTAGGGAGCTTTTGGACAGTAAAAATCATCTTGGTATTATACCTGAGGACCTGCGGTATTGCTCCGGTTCCTTTGTAGAAGTACAGCTATGGAACAGCCCCATCCTGGTGCTTTCTGATAGAAAACCTTAAACCCCGTGTCCACGTGGGAAGGCGGCTTTGCCCTCTGCGGCATGTCCCGCCAGCCTCGGGCTGAGGCAACATGTGAATCACAGCAGCTCGGTAAGGCGTGTGCACACCAGCTATGCTCTGCCCTGACTGCAGCAGCCTGGGCTCAGCACAGGATTTGCCTGCTGGTTTACACAGCTTTTTGTGTGTGCTTTTGTACCATTTATGTCCCTGCTGGGTGGAAGTAAGTCAGTCTCAGAAACTGCTTGGTTAGGCCAGGTCACAGTGGGATGAGGCAATGGCAGATCGATGCAGGAACAGTCTGTGACTATGGAGAGATTTGCAGAAAGATGTGGGATAATTTTAAGGCCTGCCTTGCACCTAGAACTCAACGTTGATGTACCTCACAGCTGAGGTCTTGCAGTATCTCTCTTAATGAGCTTGCTCAGTTCTGCTGCAGTGGTGCTTCATACTGTTTTTCTTCTCAGGGAAGAAATGCAGCATTGATAGCAAAAATTAAGATGGTAGAGAGCAGATCTAGTGGCTCGTGCATCACACTGAGGCTGTAAGTGCTTTTGGCTCTGTAATCAACCTGCCTAGTGAACGTGTTTCTCTGTGCCTCAGTTTCCCCATCTGCGCAGTGCAGGTAATAATACCGAGACTTATTTGAGATGTGTGAATAAGGAGATGTGACTTGTGAGCATGTTGGGGAGGAATGGATTTCTAAAGAGTGCCCTTACCTTGTCAAAGCATACCTGTATGTTTTTTACTAATGTTGTATTTCTAAATAGATTTTAAAGATTGAGTGATGGGTGCATATCAATGTCTGATCAGCTCTTCAAACCTGGGAAGAGTCAAGTGAGTCAAAAAGTTACCTCTAACTTGTTTTCTGATATGCTAATAACACCTTTGTATTGTAATGTACTCCTACGGCCTGTAAATCACTTACTAACCTTTTATCAGCTAAGCCTCTACTTTGCGTAACTACATCTGTGCATGAGAAATCCCCCAAAAGGTAACACTAAAATATTTAAGACAGCACCGAAACAAAGTGCTTCAGCAGTGGATCACGAACATGTAAAATGGTGTATGACCATGAAGAACCAGCTAATAGCACGGCTGGATCGCAGAGACAACTCAGGTAGGTGAACTCCAGCCACGTTGGGTGCATAGAGGTGGTAGGTGGAGGGGTGTTCGTCTGTCTGAGCATCTCATCACAGCTGAGCTCAGCGCTGTGGCTGAGGTAGGGAATCCGTACGGTACTCGGAGCTCTGTGACTCCCGGGACGTGGCGTACGCAGGGGGATGGTAACGGGAGAGGTCTCTGAGTGGGGGTCTCAGCTGCGGTGCAGTGAGGTCGGGCTGTCAGGCCTGATCCTGTACACCTCTGAGGATGGAACAGGCTCCGAGCCTCCCCCGTTCCT